CAGCACAAGCTGATGTCGTACACTCCGATTTAGACGGCGATCTAGTTTTGACAGCGGCATCGGAAACTCGCGTTAAGAACGAGTGGATTTTGGACTCCGGATGCACATTCCATCTCTGTCCCAATCGGGACTGGTTTACAACATTCGAATCAAAGAATGGCGGTGTAGTATTGATGGAGAATGATGTCCAATGTTCTGTCCTTGGCATTGGTTCAGTTCAAATAAAGACTCACGACGGTTGCGTTCGTACTCTTACGAATGTTTGATACGCTCCTGATGTCAAAAGGAATTTGATATCTCTTGGAACTTTGGACTCGCTTGGTTATAAGTTCTCGGCTACATGTGGAGTTTTGAAGGTTTCTACAGGATCTAGAACAACTATGAAGGCGAATCGGGTTGGATGTTTATACGTCCTACAAGGTCATACCGTATCGGGTTCGGCGGCAGCGGCTTCATCGATGAATGATTCAGATTTCACTCGATTATGGCATTTGCGTTTGGGCCATATGAGTGAAAAAGGAATGAAGATGTTAAGCTCTCGAGGTCTTCTTGGTGATCAAGGAATCACAAATTTAGAATTTTGTGAACACTTTGTTTTCGGAAAGCAAAAGAAGGTCGGTTTCTCCATTGCCTCTCATCGTACACATGGCGTGCTCGATTATATTCACTTCAACTTATGGGGACCGTCAAAGGTTCCATCATTTACTGGGAAAAGATACCTTATGACATTGATTGATGATTTTTCCCGGAAAATTTGGGTGTATTTCTTGAGGCGGAAGGATGAAGCTTTCGACACCTTCAAGAAGTGGAAAACTTTTGTGGAGAATCTTATGGGTAAGAAAATAAAATTTCTTAGAACTGACCGTGACTTAGAATTTTGCAGTGATAAATTCAATGAATTTTGCGCAACGCATGGTATTATGAGGCATAAGACGTTGCCGAGAAAACCCCAACAAAATGGCGTCACAAAACGAGTCAATCGGACTTTATTGGAGAGAGCTCGGTGTATGCTTTCGAATGCAGGATTATGGAATCAGCGTGATTTGTGGGCTGAAGCTGTTTCGACATCGTGCTATTTGGTAAATCAATCTCCACACTCCGCTATTGACTTTAAAATTCCAGAAGAAATATGGTCAGGTAACCCTGTCGACTATTCCTCAATGCGTATTTTTGGATGTCCCGCGTACATGCATATTAACGAAGGAAAATTAGCTCCGAGAGCTTTGAAGTGTATTTTCCTTGGGTATTCAACTGAGTCAAAAGGATACTGTTTATGGAACGCAGATGGTAAATCACGCAATGTAGTTTTGAGTTAAGATGTTACTTTTGAGGAAAAATCTATGTTGTCTTCTGGAAATGATTCAGCTGCAAGTTTGACATCCTCGTCAAATGACCAGCAGCAATTTGGAGAGAAGGTGGAGTTGCCAATGTTGTTCCGACCCATTGCTGATGTTCCTAGCTCTTCCAACCCGCAAGTTGATAAATCTAGTTCGAGTACCACATTGAATGCTCCGGTGAGACATGATACATACTCAATTGCTAGAGATCGTCCTAGGAGACAAATTCATCATTCTTCCACATTTGTAGAGGATTCTGTAGTGGCATATGCTCTATCCGTGGCACAAGAATTCGGTGATGTCGGTGAACCGAAAAATTACGATGAAGCAGCTTCTTGTGCCGAATCTCCTAAATGGCTTATGGCAATGAAAGAGGAAATTCAAAGTCTCTACAAGAATGGCACTTGGGATCTTGTTGAACTTCCGAAGGGTAGGCGTCCACTACGTTGTAAGTGGATATTCAAGAAAAAAGAAGGCATTTCCGGGGCTGAAGAGCCTCGTTGCAAAGCACGGCTAGTCGTCAAGGGATTCAGTCAGCGTGAAGGTATAGACTTCGTTGAAATTTTCTCTCCCGTTGTTCAACATACTTCTATTCGTGTTTTGCTCGGTATTGTTGCTATGTTCGATTTGGAATTTGAGCAACTTGATGTAAAGACGGTCTTTCTTCATGGTGACCTTGAGGAAGAAATCTATATGGAGCAGCCCGAGGGCTTCATCATTTCCGGAAAGGAAAATTTGGTGTGCAAATTAAAGAAATCGCTTTATGGATTTAAGCAAGCCCCGCGGCAGTGGTACAAAAGGTTTGATTCATTTATGATTGGGCAAGGTTATTCTCGCAGCAAGTATGACGACTGTATTTATTTTAAAAAGTTCTCTGACGGTTCATTTTTATACTTGTTGCTTTATGTCGATGACATGTTGATTGCCTCACGTAACATGTCTTGTATTGTTAAGTTGAAATCGCAGCTTAGTAATGAGTTTGATATGAAAGAGCTGGGTGCTTCGAAAAAAATTCTTGGGATGGAAATAATTAGAGATCGAAAAGGCGGAAATTTATTTCTGTCCCAAAGGAAGTATGTGGATAAGGTACTCGATCGATTTAATATGCGATCTTGCAAAGCTGTATCTACTCCTTTGGCTGCGCATTTCAGATTGTGCGAAAACTTGAGTGCTTGCTCAGAAGATGAAGTTAAAGACATGGCAAAAATTCCGTACTCAAACGCGGTTGGTAGCCTAATGTATGCAATGGTTTGCACTAGGCCGGATTTGGCGCATGCTGTGAGTGTTGTGAGCCATTATATGCACAATCCGGGAAAGGCTCATTGGAATGCTGTTATGTGGATTTTGTGATACTTGAAAGGTACATTGCATCTTGGCTTGGTTTTTGATAGAAATAAGTGTACTTCATTGGATGTGACTGGTTATGTTGATTCGGATTATGGTGGAGACCTTGATCACAGACGTTCTCTTTCGGGATATATTTTCACTTTATGTGGCTGTTCTATTTCATGGAAATCTTCACTTCAGTCGGTTACCGCTTTATCGACCACTGAGGAGGAATATATAGCAGCTACCGAAGGAGTTAAAGACGCGATTTGGCTAAGAGGTCTTGTCATGGAGCTTGGTTACGAGCAAAAGGTTCTTACTGTATTTTGTGATAGCCAAAGTGCAATACATTTGACGAAAAATAATCGGTATCATGAAAGGACCAAACATATTTATGTGAAGCACCATTTTATTCGAGATACAGTCTTAAAAGGTGAAGTTGTAGTGGACAAAATTCATACGTCCGAGAACCCGGCTGATATGTTAACTAAGCCACTTGCCGTTGCCAAGTTCCAATATTGTTTGGACTTGGTTAATCTTAGCAGTTGTTGAGTGTCCCGTCGGGGACTTGGCGATGAGGATGTTTATCTTTTAAATCGAATTTGTGGCAAGGTGGAGTTTGTTGGGATTGTGCCTCAAATTCTCTTCGAGGCAAGATTTTCAGAAGTTTCCGGCGGCCTTAGTCATGGGCATGACTAGGCGGACTTTCCTTGTTAGGAGTTGATTTTATATATCTTGCCAAATCAGAAGATTTCGGAGGCTTTAATCACGGACGTGACCAAGATGGAAAGGTTGACTTGGCATCAAATCATTAGAGTCATGGGCGTGATCAATGAGTGATTTTCTAAGATTCCATATCTCCATCCTTCCATATATTGGTGATCTTTATCGATTTGATTTACCTTCCATGTTAGAAGGTCAAAACTTCGCCTTTCGCATAGATATTGATAAGGGGATGTTTTTGGGGTTGAGAGAAGTTAATCATTTTGATTTTGTAATATTGAAAACATTCGATTCATCTAGTGGATTCCTCATCGTCCGTGGTTTTTTCCTGTTTTGGGTTTTCCATGTAAATCTTGTGTTCTTTTCATATTTTGCAATATTTTGTTTGTGCTTCAATTTTTTTTCGATCCGCTTCCGCAATTTCATCGCACATTTAGGCGCTTAAATCCCTAACATTTCTTTTTTCTAAAACTGTTCGAAGTCGTCTAGAGGAGTTTGTCGCCAAAAAGGAAGATGCTGTCGGAGCCGCCATCTATTTATGTTCGTCCATCAGCTAAAAATGGTATGAATGACTATTGTGTTCTTGTTTCAAGATCAGTTATTTATTTATTTTTTTTCCCAATAATCCTCGTAAATGCAAAATATAGGAATCAAGCAATAAAAATAAAAAATGAATTAATCCAAAATAATAATACCAAATCGAAAGTGAAGTTAATATCTCAAAATGCTAAACAAATGGGCCAAAACAAAATTAAGGAAAAATACAAACAAATAGGGAATTAACATATCTATTTTCAGCATCCGTGAACCAAAGCAGAGTGTTTATTTTACTTTTTTTATATTTCTCTGTTTGTATGTATTCTTTCTTACTTTTGTTCTTGTGCATTTGTTTAGCCTTTAAACAATATATATATATATATATGAAGGAAGGAATAAACATTATACAATTATATAATGTTGTGGGTATTTTTATGTAATGCCAAACATATAATTTGTTCACCGAAATTATAAAAGAAATGACCAAATAGCAAAAAGAAAACATGTGATTTGCGAAATTCTCTTAAAACACCTGTTGGTCCAAAAATTCTGTTTTACCTACTTGTATTTTAGTTAATATTGCAAAAATACTTTCGTTAGTACTTATCAGAGAGATTATAATATACGCGTTTAAACTGCAAATATTATTACAAATTCGTAGATAAGAGGAGAAAGAAGTTGCAAAAATGTAAGCAATATGTTCATTAAAGCCTATTTTTTGTAATATTACCTAAACTACAAGTTAATTGTTGAGATATTTTAGTTATTTAGTTTTAGATTTAGATTTAGATTTGAGTATATCGAATCTGCATATTATTCTAATTGATAGACTTCTATTTTCATTATAAATAACAACACAAATTTTTAGTTTTTATAATTTATTTCTCACATGATATTAGAGTCTATTTTTTCCCTCCAATAGATATAGTCTACTAACCTACGTTTCTCCGGGTACATTCAACTTGGAATGTATCCGGAGGTCTCCCAATTTTAAAATTTTTTCTATAGTTTCTGGTCATTTCTTTATGATTTTTATTTTGTTTTTAGTCCTGATTTTGTCTACATTTGAAGTCATGTCTACGCAACTGTTTGCAATCCGTCCGCTGAAGATTTTCTCCAGAGCCATGTTTCTGACTGCATCAAGAGTCCTGTTATTTCCGACTCCATCGAAAGTGCCATTATTTCTGACTCCATCGAGAGTCTGTTATTTCCGACTCCATCGAAAGTGCCGTTATTTTCGATTTCATTGAGAGTGTCGTTATTTTCGACTCCACCGAGAGTGCCGTTATTTCTGACTCCATCGAGAGTTCTGTTATTTCCGACTTCATCGAAAGTGCCGTTATTTTCGATTTTATTGAGAGTGTCGTTATTTTCGACTCCAGCGAGAGTGCTGTTATTTCCCACTCCATCGAAAGTCTTGTTATTTTCGACTCCATCGAGAGTGCTGTTATTTTCGACTCCATAGAGAGTGTCGTTATTTTCGATTCCATTGAGAGTGCTGTTACTTTCGACTCCATAGAGAGTGTTGTTATTTTCGACTCCATCGAGAGTGCTGTTATTTTCGAATCCATAGAGAGTGTCGTTATTTTCGATTCCATTGAGAGTGCTGTTACTTTCGACTCCATAGAGGGTGTCGTTATTTTCGACTCCATGGAGAGTCCTGTTATTTCCGACTTCATTGAGAGTGCCGTTATTTTCGACTTCATCAAGAGTGTCGTTATTTCTGACTCCATTGAGAGTCCTATTATTTTCGACTCTAATTCAGTTGAGAGCATTGTTTTTGGTTTTGACATGGTGGAGCGGCGGCGGCTACAACAGACAAACAACTGTTATTTTTATTTGCGTCTCTTGCGTTTGTATTCAACTTTCTTATTAAATTCAAGTTGTTTTCTATTATACCATATTTATACATCTATATTTTTGTTAGGAATAACAATGCAATTTTTAAGTTTTTATAATTTATTTCTCACATTAATAAAATAGAGTTTTAGAACTAAATAATGTTTTCAATGACTTTTGCCAATCACAAGATTTTCTTTTTGCTATTTTGTCTTAAAAAACATAATTGGTATTAACACAATATATATACTTCATTCTTCAACAAAAAATTAACAATTGAATCCAATATATATATATATTTTTTATATTACCGAAAAAATTCTTCATATCTAATATAAAAAAAATACATTCATCCAAAAATAAAAAATGAATACACCCATAGTTTATATGCATAATAAAGCAATCAGTGTTTTTGTCGGGCTTAATTTGCAGGCTATTAAGTTCGACCGGGAGTTTACCCAGTACGCATTTTAACATAGTAATTACAAATTCTCTCCTTATAAAAAATATATATATATACTAATAATAATAAAACAATGAGTGCTGCACAAACTATTATGGCCAATCTACAAAATGTAGAAGATATGCACTTCTTAAGTATTTCATTCGTCACATTTATCAGTATTGGCATACTACTAGTTAAAAAAAAAAAAAAACTAAAAAAAAAATCTATGATGCTTAAAAAACAAAAATTGTTCGCGATGATGTTTTGATCTAAAAGATATCATTAAGGAACACTGAAATACTTCAGTATTATCAAAATAGTTTGACAACATTGTTCAATAGTTAGCAGTAGACCATCGAAATCGAAGTGGATTGTTGAATGCAACCAGATTGTTTGTAGAGATTGCCATGAGTTATCAAATTCAAGTTGAATATCTAGGGTGTGTTTGTTTAGAGGATTTTGGAGGATTCACACTATTCATACAAAATTGTTTCTAAAAAAAAATCAAATCAAACACCTATTTTTTATTTTTTAGTATATTATACTAAAAAATAATTTTACATTCAAAATATTACATCAATACTTATTTATATCACATCATACAACTATTCAAATTTAAATTTTTTATTATTCAAATCCCAAATTAAAATTCAAACCTCCAGATAAACACATGAGAGGATATGTATTTGATTTGGGTAAGAATGTAATGGTAGCTACACAAGTCACTAGCGTTCATGATGGTCCGAAGATAAATGTAAGTTTCACATGAAATAAAATTTATGTAACATCTTGTTAGAAAATCGAATACCATAAAACATAGTAGTGATGGAAAAAAATATATGGTACATTAAAATCATCACAATAAAGATTACTAAGTGTGTTCGTTTATAACATTTTATCAAATTTCTATTATTCATAAAAAAAAAAATTCAAAAATATTAAATCAAATACTTATTTTTTTACTTTGTATATTATACTAAAAATTAATTTTACATTCAAAACATCATATCAATATCTATTTATATCACATCATATAGCTATTCCGAATTCAAAATTTTTATTATTTAAATCCCAAACCAAAATCTAATTAAACCTCCAAGCAAACACACCCTTAGTGGTGAAACCTAGGAACTTTGGTTGAATGACACTATTAGGGGTGTACATTTGGTTGGGTTCGGTTGGTTCGATTCGAATCAAACTTTAAATTATGATCGAATTTTAGTTTTATAAAAATTAAAATTGAGACCAAACTAAAGGTTTTCGGTTCGATTTAAGGCTGAATAAATCAAATTTTTATTTATTAACATATAATTTGCCTATAGGTTCAAATGCAAATACTCAAAATTATAATATATTATGTGTTAATATATCCTTTTATATTTTTTTAAAAGTTCAGTTTTTGGATTAACCGAAATAAAATATTGAAAACTATAATTAAAATTTATAAATTTGATTTTGGACTGAATCGAACTAATTAACTAAACAGTCTATACTGAACAGTCTGAATTGAAAAATTTCAAAAATTCGACTTTTTTAATTTAGACTAATTAATGCTCACTCTAGACATATTATAGAAGATATCTTCTATTCAACATACAAAATATCCAAGTACATATATATATGTATATACTAGTACTCGTTGGCGCGCTACGCTGCGCGTAGTATTGTTAGCGTTAATTTTTTTATATGTATAGTTAAAATTAAAATAAGTTTCATTTAAACTATTTAAATATTACTGACATGATGTACATAAGTAATCGTGGTAGATGAGTCTTGGGATCGACTGAATGAGTATTTATGGATGTGGTATGTAGCAATTATTTTGTTTTGTTTTTTATTAAAACATAAATTTAATAACCATAACAACAGTACGATGGTCGTTTATAGTTTTATTGGTGATCGTTTGACTTCTCCATCGTTGATTCTTTGTTGTAAAAAACTGTCAATTTCTTCACCAAACTGTCAATTTCTTCACTGGTGATCTGCTTTCTCCATGGGTGATGAACTTATCAATCAGTGATCCTTAGCATTATCCATCGGTGATCCATTTCAGGCCCTATCGATTTATCCATCAGTCATCCTTAACCATTCTTCATCGGTGATCCGCCTTCTCCAGTGAAGAAATTAACAGTGTCCACTACGATCATTATCTGCCCCGATCAATGAGATTAAGTGAGATTATCTGCCGTTAAATACTATCAATTTCTGAAACAGTGATTTTACTCTGGCACCATCGGTCTTCTCCATCCATCGGTGATTCTTTAATTATCGATTAGATTATTACAATTTAAAAATAAATTTAATACATAATTAAATTAAATTTTGAATAAAAACAAATAAAATATATTAAAAAAATATTGATGTATTAGGTAATAAAATAATTTTAATTAAATAATTATGTAATTTCTATCGGTGTTCCATCGGTTTCTCCATTGGTGAGCTTTCGTACCAGACACTACAAATTTCTCTTCCATCGGTGATTCTTTGTTGTCAGACACAGTCAATTTCTTCACTGGTGACCCGCCTTCTCCATGGCTGATGATTGACGAACTTGTCAATCAGTGATCCTTAGCATTATCCATCAGTGATCCATTTCAAGCCCTATCGATTTATCCACCGGTCATCCTTAACCATTCATCATCGGTGAACCGCCTTCTCCAGTGAAGGAATTAACAGTATCCATTGTCATCATTATTTGCCCCCATAAATGAGATTTGGTGAGATTATTCTATAGCTAAATAATATCAATTTCTCCAATAGTGATCTTACATTGGCACCATCTGTCTTCTCGTGATTCTTTAATTATTGATTAGATAATTACAATTAAAAAATAAGTTTAATACATACTTAAATTTAATTTTGAATAAAAATAAATAAAAAATATTAAAAATATATTGATGCATTAGATAATAAAATAATTTTAATTACATATAATTATGTAATTTCCATTGGTGATCTTTCCTACCAGACACTACAAATTTCACTATTAGCGATCATTTCTCTTCTCCATCGGGGATTCTTTGCTGTCAGACACTTTCAATTTATTCACCGGTGACCCACCTCCTCCACGGGTGTTCAACTTGTCAATCAGTGATCCTTAGTATTATCCATCGTTGATCCATTTCAGGCCCTATCGATTTATCCATCGGTCATCCCTAATCATTCACCATCAGTGATCCGCCTTCTCCAGTGAACAAATTGACAATTTCCCGCTATCATCGTTATCTGCCCCATCAATGAGATTAAGTTAAATTATCTGCCGCTAAATACTATCAATTTCTCCAACAATCAGCTTGCTCTGGGACCATCGGTCTTCTTCATCCATCGGTGATTTCCTAATTATTAAATATATTATTAGAACACAGAAAAAAATGTAATACATAATTAAATTAAATTTCGAATAAAAATAAATAAAAATATAATATAAAAATATTGATGTATTAGATAATAAAATAATTTAATTTAAATATAATTATGTAATTTCCATCGGTGATCAATGGTTTTCTCCATTGGTGATCTTCCTTACCCGACACTACCAACTTCTCTATTGGTGATCATTTGTCTTCTCCATCGGTGATTCTTTGCTGCCAGTTTCTTCACTGGTGATCCGCCTTGTCAATGGGCGATTAACTTGTCAATCAGTGGTCTTTAGCACTATCCATTGGTGATCCATTTCAGGACATATCAATCCACAGGTCATCCTTAACCATTCTCCATCCGTGATGGCCAGTCATATGTGTATCGGTGATTTAATTGCTTGTGAATTTAGGGTTTAGGTTTGAGACCATTACGAAGACTTGGCATCCCAGTAGCCAATAATAATAACTCCATATATTTTTTAGTTGTTGTGACAATTTTTTTTTTTTTTTTTGTATTTTTTCCAATTATCTTTCTACATTAATTTTATTTTTGTTTTTTTAATTTTTTGTATAATAAAAAAATTAACTCTCTACAAAATGATATCAATATTGATATAATTTTATTAAAATAGTGTTCGTCTTTTATTTTTATTTTTATTTTTTTTAAAAAAAAAAAACTCCAAATACTATGTATTTTTAAATTGTCATTTTCTGATTTAATCCCAAATGGCAATCTATTTATTGATATCCATAAAATTGAGCTAAAACCTCCAAGCACAGTAAAAAAATTGGAACGTGAGAAACAGTATATCCCGGGTGCAGATTTCTTAGTGTCAGCATGTAATGTGAAAGAAAGTCATATACAAACTCTAACCTTCGAAAATTTAAAATTTAGAGGATTTTTGCAATTGCACAACCCTCTGTTTCCTAGAATGGTAATTGATTATACGGTAAGGTAAGGTAAGTGAATACCTTTTAGAGCACATTCTTTTGCAGATCATCCAGTTCCAGGTCTATCTCGGTGTCGTTATCATTTTCTGTCGGATCAAAGATGGGGGCATCGAGCACAGGTGGATCCTGGAGATAGATTTGTACAAACATAAGCAAAGCTAATAACCTTAATTATGAATAATGGCCATTAGATTATAGATAACTACCAAACTGCTCTCAAGGCAGAAGCTCAAAGGAAGGAGGAATGGACATTTTTTCATTTATTTTTAAACAAATGCATTGCAATAATCAGCAACTCGAAGAGTTATTCGCCAGAATTTCTGTATCATTACCATGCAACAAACAAGTTCCCAATTGATGCCCCGGAAAAAATGGATGCTGCTTCACTTCACTCGCACCTTATCGTGATCCTAGCTTGTTTTTAGGATCTCTGTGTAGCAGTCGATACATCAGCTCCTTTACTTTGGAGACTTACCTGTAACAAATCAACTATCAAAGTTCTCTTCAAGCCATGCCTTATAACTATATATTAAAATAATAATAATAACTAATAAAAAATATAAAACTAATTTAATATATTGAATGATAATATAATACTTAAATTAGCAAAAAGAAAAATACTAATATGCAAAATTGTGGCGTTAAAAATGTTACAGTACTTCTACATTATTAATAATTATATATTATTTAATAATATTACATTTTATTTTATAAAAATATAATACTATATAAAAATTTTAATTATAAATATTTTATATATATAAAATGTCGGGGTGCATAACCAAGCCCCCCTTTTTTTGGGGGGAGGGGGGGGCAAAGAACAATGAGGGCCGACGGCATGGGAATTGGATGTCTGTGGATACTTGTTAATTTTTACCCTCTAAACTAAAATATAAGTAAGCTTTGTATATAGAATGCGACGACTAATAACTTTGTCGTGTGCCTGGATGTACAAGCCCGTTGACCGATGGCGAAGTTCCGGGTAAAAAGAGGTGATCACTGTTTTTGTAATTTTAAATTCCTTTCTGGGATTGGTATGATACCCGTATCCATCGTGATTATCCTAGATCCATATTTTATATTTGGGGGGGAGGTGCCTAAGGGCATTTGGTATGCATTGCATATGAAAATACAAAAATCCGCGTGTTCTTAAAAGGTGGGAGTTGTAGTCTAGTTTCCATATATATAATACAACAAAAGGCCAGACAACGCGAAGCTGATCGCGGCAAACAAGGTGTTTTTTAAAGGGGAATGACAGGCGGGGCTGGGGTCTAACATAACCATCAAAATGTGTCATACGGGGCTGGCTTCTGCTCCTCCCATTTGTGGAAAGGAAAATGGCAAAAGGTTGTGCCCTGGCAGCTCATCTCTTTCCTTTTGCTGAAGACATGCGGATCTTCTTTGCGGGGTTTTTCGCGTGAACGTCTGGGCCTGGCATTTCAGTTGGCGGAACGCTTGCATCGGCATCTAGAAGTGGGAACAGCTCCTTTCGTGGAGCTGCTAGCATGAATGAAACGTGTACAAGCAGTCAGAGAGGATGTATGTTTCTTGTATTTGTTTTCGTACGAAAACAAAGTTAGGAGTAACGAAATAATGTGTTACATGTTTCTGAGCTCTCTCCAGTGTCAGTGGAAGTTTTCAGACCATCAAGTATGGGTGTCAACGATGTCTTCGTAATTCCCATACTTACTTCGGTGGTTTCCACTTCTGATGAACCTGTGGGAGCTGCATTAGTTGTAATGTGAGAGACTTTGAGCCAGAGCACTTGCTCAGTTAAATTATGGAGTATACATAAGTGAGCTGCGGCATCTAAAATTAGAACATTATTTGGAAAAACATCCTCATCTTCTCATTAGTTGATCTACTGTAATTGACAAAAACGAATAATTATGTTACATGTAGCTGGTGTTTGAACAGCATTGATGGTGTAGCTGAAGTTATTAAATTTTGCAGAATTAGAGTGCTTCTTCTTCACGGCAATCATGAATCTGCTTCCTTTGATAGTGTCGTTGCGGCTTTCACAGTATTTGTTGATAGCCTACGAGATTTGTGCACTACAATTAGCATGCCTAAAATAATGTTTATTAATGAAGGATGCGGGCGTGGCCCGTCCCTGCTATTTACTGGCATGAATGCATGGCATTTTATTAGTTTTGCGAAAAGACAAAAGCACGTGGAATGGGTATAATAGAGTACACACAAGGGGGGCAGGGCTAAAGACATGAGCAAAATGTAAAGTTGGAAAGAGCTTGGATATTGTGTTGAGAAAGTGCTTACGTGGTCGCCCTTGCGTTCAAGTGAAGCGCCATCGCAACCTAGCACTGTGAACGCAACATCTTCGTATGCAACACAGTTAATATTTCCAGTATCGTTGATGAGGTCTAAGCTGACCATGTACTTAGAAGTAGGTTATCTTTATTGTAGTGAGTATATATATTGTAGAGTCGCAGCCTTATACTTCCCTAGGTGTAGAGGTTTGGACACTTGCACAGCGGAAACAATGAAATGGTCGAGGTATAGGTGTTATTGTTGCAGAGTGGCAATTTGAACATGCGCTGTATGAGAGCTTGATATGAGGTGAAATGCATATCTGAAAGCCTGCAATGAGGCTGTGCTCTCCTTGCTGGGAAAAAGAATGGTATTAATTAGTATCGTGTGCATAACAATGTGTGGGTTTATAAATTATTAATGCTATAAAGCTTGAACCTTTGCATCTTTGAGTTCTTTGATTGATTGTAGTGAACACGGAGAGGTCGCTAGGACACTTTTGTCGTTGAACAAGACCAAATGCTTCAGCAGGTTGTCTATCTCTACGCTGTTTTCCCTTTTCCTAGGAAGAGTCGAAACCATTATAGCTTCAAGGCGAGTGACCACTGAGCAGGAAAATAGTGATGTATTTTTACCTGTTATCAAGGTCCCGGGCTGCCGCATAGGGAGGATCAATAATGATGTTTGACATAGTTGAAGCGGACAGGGATATTCCTGTTTCGTGGAAATCATACACTTTAATCAACTGTAATGGTTTACGTTTATAGGAGGATCTAGTTAATGAAGAAGGCATATTAAATGCTTTGGATAACCTTGGAATGATGTCACCCGGATGCTCTTGGCCAGAATTACTAGCCTTCTGATAGAAGCGTTGCAAGTAGGCCACCTTCCGCACCCGAGGTCATTCCACAAAGTTAATTTAGTGGCAAGTTTCCTAGGAAGACACCACGTATGTTATTTAAACCAGAGTCAAGTGCTACGTATTAACAACTACCAAAAAGGAGAATATTTGTTTTACTCTTCCGTCACTATGGTAATCTCCCGTAGTTTGTTAGAGCCCTTTTGTTGGGTGCTGGTAACATCGATCACGACTCCGAGAATGTCTGGGGTGTGCATTTTATAGATATTAGGCGTCTGCAAATACATGTAGCTTCCACATGGTAGGCTATTATACCAAATGATGGAGGTAAATAAGGAAATGTGTCCCGCTCCGCTGGCGTATTTCATGGACATTATTACCTATCAGTCGCTTCTCCTCCAGATGCTTTGGAAGAGTTGCTTATCGAGCAAATTCTGGCCGACCAACAAACATGCTAATTGGGTTTTCCGTAACTGAGGTTATGCTTGACCTTTGATTCAGTGTGATTTGAACATTTGCGTTATAACCTTCTAGTGCGACGGTCGTTGGCCTTGACATTGCTCCGAAGATTTCGTACGTCTCAAACAGATGAAGGCATGCATCTAGTTTGACAATGTCATGGTGGAAAGTGCACGCTTGTAGCTTTGTGCCCTGTATGTCGTGTCATCGAGGTTCACAGTTATTGATAAAATACAAGACGGCAATGTAGAGGTCCGGAACGTAAGACTATGTTCATAACTACAATGCATAAGACATGCCACAGGTTGTTACCAATGGCTGGAGAATGCAGTGTTGCATCGGATTCCCACGGCCCCATTTCTTGGCTGATTTATGCACAGGTATAATGGAGCGTACTGTGTGAAAGAAAGGCCGATGGTTTACCTGCGGGTCAACAAAGACATATCGCTTGTAGTTGTGCCCGGTTTTGGTAGAAGTCCTCTCCCCAGAACGCTCCAACAACATTACGCATATTGTCCAGTTCTGCGAATGAAGAGTAAGGTCTGCAACTGTGGTATATTGGTCAGCTTCTCCACCTTCGTTGGTTGTGGTTCCATCTTCAAGGCAAATCTCCAATGGCGATGCTTATGTATTGGGGCGCCCTTCTTTAAATAGAGTAGTTGACGTATCGATTCATTGGAGACCGGCACTGTGGTTGTATACGAAGTCACATGGTTGCGCATCATGGTCAGCAGTGAGATAGGGCATCCACATCGACCCCCAAGTCATTTGCTTTAAAAAATAATAATAATAAAAAAATGACATGGAAATTGAGGGAAGAGAGCACCGGTGCACCAATTCAACAGCAGCGTTGCCGTATTTAATATTGCCACGTGTCCCAATTAAATTAGGATACGTGCCAAAAAAAATTTTAATATGTTTTTCTATTAATTTTTTATATAGTTTATTTAAATTATATATATTAATATTTTTTATATTACATAAATTTTTATTTTTTTTATAAAATAATATTAATATTGAATATATATTTTTGTTTATTTAAATATAATTAATTTATTATAATAAATATTGACATATTTTTATTTAATAAAATTTTTAATTAAATATAATCAATTAATAATAAATATTTTTAAAAATTAAAATATGAACATAATAATACTAATCATATTAATAAATATTTGTTATAACATATAAATTAAATTATTAAATAAATATTAAGAAATATGTATATTAGATAAAATTATTATTTTTTAAATTATTTTAAAAATCAATAATTTAATAATATAGAAAAAAAAATTAAAATTTGTGTAAATGGGTTTCTTTGATGTGGATATAAAATGATATAAAGTTTTATAATGACGTGGCAGAGAGAATATGACGTAGATGAAGAAAGAGATGGAAGAAACCCATTATGGGTTTCCTTGATGCGGATGGGCTTAGTAGCCGATGATGTGGCGTATTGAATATACACTTGTCAGTTGCCTATGTCTTTTTAATTAACTTCCATTCTACATTTTGTATGATATATCTTGATATTTCTTTATATATATATATATGTTTCTTAGAAAAATAGACCTAAAAAAGTTGAACATATACTACAATTTCCTTGTTATAAGTTCATATAAAAAAATTTATGCGAATCTCATAATATGTATGTATCTGTTCGATATTAAAATATGCAAATATATTAAGTAGCGTAACATAAAATTGAATATGAAGAAAATTATCTAAATGTAATTAATAAAAACATATGTACATAAATGTGTAATATATAGAAAATAAATATAAAATTCCAAGATAAATAAATATATATTATATATATAACTTGTGTATATATATATATAGATTTAATTTTCATTCTACATTTTGTATGATATATCTTTATATTTCTTTATATATATATATATATATATATTTCTTAGAAAAATAGACCTAAAAAAGTTGAACATATACTATTATTTTTCCTTGTTATAAGTTAATATAAAAAAAATTATGTCAATCGCATTATATGTATGTATCTGTTGATATTAAAATATGCCAATATATTATGTAGGGTAACATAAAATTGAATATGAAAAAAATTATCTAAATGTAATTAATAAAAACATATGTACATAAATGTATAATATATAGAAAATAAATATAAAATTCCAAGATAAATAATTATATTATATATATATATATAACTTGTGTATATCTATATAGATTTTTGAAGTTAAAATATGTTTATATAGATAGATAGATATAAATATAAAAGTTTTCAATATATATATATGTTATATATATAGAAATGTATGATATATATATTATGTGTATATATATATTCCTATATTTTACTCTATACCTATATATAATGTGTATATATGTATTTTTATATATATTAAAATATATATGTAGATATAGATATAAAGATTTAATGGTAAGCAACGTAACGAAATGGGGTTGTTTATATAAGAAGACTATTTCTTATAATATATATAAAAACATACATAAAAACAGTAGGCATAAGGCAAGGCCACCGGCCATAGTTGTGTAAAAAATGATTTTAAAAAATGGGCCTTTATACAATTTTTCCTCGTAATTTGAACACAGTGTCAGGCATCGGTCTATTCAAGCGGCCAAACCAAATCACATTTTGTAAAGCAGTAACAAAAAGGGCACTATTCGCAGTTGTTGATTGACGCTGGCGTGAACAGTAACTTAGCGTGTGAAGATTGAGTTGCAGGGTTGCCGGCGCCTGTGTTCCGTGCAGTCGGCTAGTACGGTGTCTGTCAGAGATACGGTTGTTTTAGCACGTGAATTGATGGCCAAGGGGTGAATGCCTCGGAAACCCGCGTGTGCTAGTTGATGTGGTGGGTGGCCGTAATTCTGTGCACAACTGAAGTGTGACGATTGCAGGCGGATTGGACGGGCTGATATCAGCAGGCAATGATGGCCGGGACCGTTTGAAACCACATCGGATCTTATGTATCTTGCCCAACGGCCTCGTTTAACCAGCGGTCGGCCTACTGATTCGTGGTCGGTTTCCACACTTACCCCATGCGCAAGCGCGGTGGCGGCGGCTGGAACAAACTTATAATCTAGCTGAATGGGGGCTTCACAAAAGGCGGTAGGTCTTATCTTAAGAAAGGACTAAGGACGCAAAGTTTGTCAGCTATGATAGTGTTTGGGTAGAGGTTAGGTGGTTTTGATGGATGAAATTATTAAGATTTCAGCTTGGTCCAGTTTGCTGTTACAGATAAGGATGTTGGACTGTGACACACAAGCAATGGTGTTGTGTTGTGAGACAGTATTGTAGCTGTTTTCCGGAAGCCATGTGGTTGGGAATGTGCTAGCATATAGTGGGCAGAACGATGTAATTATTTTGAAGATGTACATAATGTTAGTAATGTGTAACGTATTACAAGTAACATAAAGAAGAAATATTATATCGACCTTTCATACATAGCAGCTTTATATTGTGTTTGCAAAGTTAACTTCAAAAATAGCGTCAGTAACACTTCTCGAAAGTTAGAACCTAAACTCTTTTGTGAAGTACTTGCATTTAGTTTTTTTCAAACACTTTCTTTAACAGCTATCGTGGCGGCGTTTTTTTTTGCACAGTAGCATGGAAGCATACATGTGTCCAAACAGCAAAGATTATAATAACTTATTGGAAAACAGAGTTTGTATTCTTCGTTTAAGCAATCGGCATACATTATTTACACATCTACAGCCTGATGTCGGCCAGACAAAGAAGCTCCGAGTAGGCAATGTTCTTTGTCCACTCAAAAATTGTGTCGGACAACACTAATGACTGGACAACTATATGTAAGGAGCTGAATGATTTGGCGCGTGAGAAAGCCACATACAACATCCCATACATGAATACAGGGTCCGGAAGGTAGACGTCAACACGATCCAACGTTTGCCTCTGTGATTTGTTAATGGTCATGGCGAAACACAGCTTTATTGGGAATTGTGTCCCCGTAAAATCTATTCATGCCGGCTTGACATTCTTGGGTTCTAAGGGGATACGAGGAATGAAACATGTCTCACCAGAGCAAGGACCTGTAATAATTTCAGCTTCGAGGATGTTTCATGAAATGGTTTTGCATATCAAACGGGTTCCATTTGATAAACTATTTGATGGGTTGAGGATTCGTAGTAGCATAATGGGCGCTTCTTTTTTAAGATTTAAAGAATGTGGAGGCATACCATTTGGTGTTAATGTAGAAAGGTAGTCTTCGTAATGTGACTGTTGAGTTGGATCTTTAGTCATATTGCAGGCAATAGATGTTAGAGTGTCTCCAGGAAGCATGGGCAACACAATATTGTTGATTTGATCTACCATTTCGTTTGTTGTAGTTAGAATCGAGCGTCTGAAAAAAAAAATCTGAATTGGTGGGTGATATTATTTTCAGCAGATATATTATGTTAATCAAACCGTTTATATTGGAGCAGCTAAAGGGCAACAGACAGGTGGAAGGTAACTTGACATCTCCATTATCATTTTTTAAGCACGTGTTGTTGCCTATCGATTCCACGAAATCTGCAAATTTTGGATCTTCTTTCGCTCGCATGTTAACTTTAAGGTAGAACTTCGTTGCCTTCCTAAATAAATGCGACGATACTGGGCTTGCTTCTATAAACATTTCTTTTGTTCCATTTGGTATAACTGGAGTTATTTGTCGGAAATCGCCCCCAAATATAACCATTTTCCCACCAAAATCCTCGTGTGAATCACATATGTCTTGTAGTGTGTTATCCAGAGCTTCTATGAGTTCACGTCTTGCCATTGAAATCTCGTCCCAAATGATAAGTGAAGCTTGTCTTAATTGTTTGGCTAGATTAGATTATTTAGAAGTATTGTAGGAAATGTTCTCAGACAGGCCGAGAGGGAGTTTAAATTTGGAGTGCGCAGTTTGCCCATTAGGCAACAACGATGCAGAAACTCCAGAGGTGGCAACTGGGATAGCAACAATGTTAGCCAACGCAACATAGTGAAGAATTATTTTATATAGGTATGTCTTGCCACTACCTGCAGGGCGATCAATAAAGCATATGAATCCAGTTTGGGATCTGAGTTTCCCAGTAATGATCTCGAAAACTCCTCTCTGTTCTTCGTTCAAGCTGTCGGGAGATGGTAGATTGTGGCATAGTTGTAGGTCTTGAGAATGATCATGTTCATGCGACGTCTCTTCTGCTGTTGCATCTGCCACATGTCTTCCTCTAATTCCATAGTCATTTAGTTGTGTGCCAAGGGCTTGAAAAAATTTATTTACAGTTGTTGCAGCCATTGTTTCTAAACATGCAGGTTGTGCTCCACTTAAGACGTTAAACTGAGTTACACAGAATATATGGAATTTGTCCCAAAGTACTTGCGGTTCTGTAGGGCTACAAAAAATCAATATTGTAGCAAATAGTTGTGCAAAAGCTTTAGGTAGCTTGAACTGAGATGCTTCTTGTAGAGATTCTATAATTCCAAGGTCTGAGTCAAGTAATCCTAATCCAACACATGCTGACCGGAAAGTGTCGTGAATTGTCCCATTAATTGTTGCGAGATCTTCAAATGACGTAGGGCACCGTCGGTGTTGCAGAAGCA